GATCAGTCCTTTCTGTTCAGTCTTGGCGTTGCACAGTTGTTCAAAAAACGTCATGGGCACGTGCGCTGCCCGTTTGATCTCCGGGCAGTCCTTAAGCTGGATATATTGGAATACGTCTTTTGTGGTCAGGGGGGCTAGGGTTTTCAGGTGGTCAAACGTATTGAAATTCCCCTTGTCGAATAGGTGGGCACATCTCTGTACCCCCTTGTTCTCTATGGCCAGGAAATCTTGCGCGCTCAGCCCCGGCTTAAATGCCCGGTTGTGGAGGTATGGGGTCATCGGAGATGGAGTGTGTTTGAGAATGTATTTGTCTGCCGTGAGGTCCCATATTCTGATTGTGTTAAGTATCGCTGGGCACGTAGTGCAAATGGGTGGCCTATCTTGTTTGGGTACCCAAATCCAAAATTGTGGCAGGTCCGTGTACATCAGTCATGATTCCAGGTCCCTCTCTGACTAAGAACATGTCTATGCGGGAGTACTTTGAGTGAGCCGCTGAGTGGAATGTGTAGTCCCTAAGCCTGGGGTGTTGCAGTCTCCAGGCGTCTAGTAGTTTCATTTGTTGGATGAAGTTGGCCTATAATTTGTCTTGTCTCCCTCCCCCCAACGCCCCAGCCTTGGTGTTCTCTCTCTAGCTGACACCACAACCACCGCAGGCCGAACCTCTCTTTATTCAAAGTGAAGCAGAAACAAGCTCTTACAAGAGCTTAAGAGTGATAAAAGCAAGGGAATATGCAGAGCATAGCAATCCCTTGTGGAAGATTCCCCCAATAAGAGACATGACTCCAAATTGAGGATGAAGTAGAACTGTCTAAACCTTTATTTTACTTGGGACTAGCCCATATGGTCATTACATTAACATTGCTGTGAAAACTCTATAAAATTACAAACCGTAAAATCATAGTAGGCAACATACCACACTCCAAAACTGCAAACTGTCATTCAATTCTTAAATTTCTATTTCCACCACTATGAAACTAAGCGTACTAAACTCATGATTCCATAACTATGTGAGTGCCAACGGAAATGGTCAATGTGTGGCAGCCATTTTAAAATGTAAAAGTAAATAAAATAAAAATGTACAATTGTTTCTTTATCCTAATAACAAGATTCAGTACGGTCGCTGTGTACTTGGAATTAGAGATAATGAGTATCCAAACACTGCAAACTCTCACCACACTGTGCGTTATGGACAGTTACTAATAATTCAGTCCCTTCATTTTGAGGTCAAAGGGTAGAAAATAATATAAATGTTATAGTGAACCCAGGGTAACCCGACTGGTTACCTCCACTATTCATAAATGAAAAGACCCATTTCCCCCAGTAACTGGATGACACACAGTTCCAGGGGTACAACAACACATTATTGGTCACACTCTGCTTTATACTGTCCCCATGCAAGGGGTGGAACACAGGCAAATGACAATGATGTCCCCTCCCAGGGTTTATAGGATGGAACTAGACCCTTGTCCCTCGCTTCCGCAACCCAGGTCCTCTCCGTACCAGGGGCCTGTGCGTGTAACAGGAAGTCCAATCCCTTTGTCCCCAGTTCCCGCAACCAAAATACAGGGTTTCCCACTTTCCGTGGTAGGGGGTCTTCTTCCCAGGACCCTCTATACCTGGGAGTCACAGTGCGGGAAAGCTTCCCGCCTCCTGGACTCCAGTCACGGAAAGCCTGCTAAACCGCCATTGTCCCCAAGGGACACCCTCGCCATAGTAAATACACCTCCGCTACATGTGGTTATTCCTAATTCACTACCATTTAGTGTATAAGTTGCTTGTGCATTCTTGACCCCAAAGTGCATAACTTTGCATTTCTCTACATTAAATTTAATTTGCCATTTTAGTGCCCAGTCCCCCAATCTATCTAAATCCCTCTGCAGCAAAGCTCACATTGTATTACTGTACAAAGTTTTGTGTCATCTGCAAACA